AAAAATCTTCTTCTCAAGAACAGCAAAGCCATGATTGATCATATTTATGTGGAAGTATCCTCAGGTAGTGTTAATTCAAGTTTGTTCAAATCATGACCCCCTGGGGTAGGGTGGGGCCACAATGGAGGATCAAAGTCTTAAATAGAAATATATAGGAAAATATATTCTGATGAAGAACAGCAAAGCCATGATTAGTCATTCTGGTATGGAAGCATCCTCAGGTAGTGTAGATTCAAGTTTTTTAAATGATGACCCCTGGGGATAGGGATGGGCCACAATGGGGGATAGAAAATTTTACATAGGAACATATAGGAAAATATCTTCTTCTCAAGAACTGAAAATCATGTTTAGTCATTTTGATATGGAAGCATCATCAGATAGTGTAAATTCAATTTTGTTCAAATGATGACCCCCTGGGGTAGGGTGGGGCCCAATGGGGGATTAAAAATTTTTACATAAGAACATATAGAAAAAATATTTCTTCTGAAGAACTGTAAAGCTATGTTTAGTCATATTGATATGGAAGCATCCTCAGGTAGTGTAGATTCAAGTTTGTTAAAATGATGACCTCTGGGATAGGGAGGAGCCACAGTGGTAGATCAAATTTTTACAAAGGAATATATGGGAAAACTTTCAAGTTCTTCTCAAGTACAACAAAGCCATTACAAAGCCATTTGTTATACTGACATGTAAGCATCATCAGGTAGTTTAAAATTCAAGCCCAAGCCCCCCCCCCCCCCCCCCCCCCCCCCCATAATCTTTTCAATACTGAACTGATTTGTGCTTTTGTCTAGCCAATGTGCTCAGGTGAGCGATGTGGCCCATGGGCCTCTTGTTGATAATGTATTTTTTGTTGCCTCTTTGCCACAGATAAGCTGTTTGTATCACCAGAGGCATTAAACATAGGTATAAATTCTTCTTTAATAGACTTATCTTATACATCTTTATAAATTCAAGGTCTCGTCAGACAGAAGAGACATAAATATGCCATTTTTTTTGGCTCTGGTAGTGTGTGCTGGTGCTCGTTAATTATGTTGTTTTGGCCCCACCCATTTATTGAACAGTGCAAGACATAAAGATCACAAGAGTACAAAGAAAGCAGTTTGATCAAGGACAGATGATCTGTGATATACTATTACAAAGATAAACCTAAGCAGTCAGATTGTGACGAGTGGGTCATACTATCTGTGGAGGTCAGACACATTTTACGCTTGAAAACATCTACACACTGACAGACTGCTTTTACCAGTGATTTAAGATTTAATTTGCCTTGCTATGACAGAGGCAGTTTAAAGGTTTATTCTTCCCATCTCCATCTCAAATTTCAATGATTCCACCCTAATGCAGGTTGTTTAGGAATCAAGTCTGTGTCTTGTTATCAGTATATATAGAGCCAGGTGGCAGCATTGATCTAAGGTCAAAGAACTGTCTTCTACAAACCGCACTCACCTCAAGGAGCCCTTAACTTAAAATCACATATGCATCTAGGTTGACACTATTTTGTGTTATAACTGTGAGCTACGTAGGATGTGTACACAATTTGATGCAAAGTTTTGTCTTCTAAAAGAGAGGAATTAATAGAATTTTTTTTCCTTTTTATTTTAGAGGTAAGGTGCAAGTTTTATTTCTATGCATACAAACTTTTTATGTCATTTAAAAGTGCAGAGTTCATTTTGATGATAAACATTGATGATATATATATATATATATATATATATATATATATAATTTTAAGGTACACACACTGCTTTATTAATCTATGTAGCCCTAGTTTCTAGTTTTTCTTTTAACCTTTTAAAATGCATCAATTTGAACTGAAAAAACTTGAAAATGTAACTGAAAATAAAATATGGGGGAATAGAAAAAAGTGAGTTAGACTTGTTTTGGATGTTACAGCAAAATAATCATTATTTGAAGTTGAAAATGTCGCACTTTATGGTCAATTATCTAAATGTCATTCTCTCATTTGATATTTGAGAGTGGCATTATACATGTTGTATTGCTTGATTTTTGAGTAAAAATAAATGGGGACAAATTTCCAGCTCAAAATAGTCTTTGTGATGAATGGTCAGATGTATTTATTTAGATAAATTTCAATATTATTTTCCCAGATTTTCCCTCTGGCAGATAATTTGAATTTTTTTGAAATATATGTTAAAAACAAGATGTGTTTGTGAAACACTGATGACCCCTTATGGCAGCTCATTGCCAACTTTAAAGTTTCTCATATGCAAGTCTTACTCTAAGGTCAAGAGATCAAAAATGTTGGTACCCATGGGAAGGTCTTGTCACAAGGAATACACATATGTAATATGAAAGCCCTTGGCAGGCATCCTTTTAGAAACTATGGTCAAGGTTAAAATTTTTTAAAAGTAGGTAAAACTCCAAGGTCACGATATAGAGGTTAAAAATGTTGGTACGTAAGAAAGGTCTTTTCACAAGGAGAAAAAAAACTGTAGGAAAACACCTCTGAAATATGAAAGTCCTACCACCAAGCATTCAAAAGTTATGTATGGTATTTGGTTAAAGTTTTCAAAAGTATGTCAAACTCCAAGGTCAAGGTTAAAAGGTCAAATATGTTGGTACCCAAAGAAAGGTTCTTGTCACAAGGAATACATGTGAAATATGAAAGCCCTAGCTGTAACCAATCTAAAGTTATGAACAAGATTAAAATTTTTGACGACAGACAGATGGATGGACAGAGCAAAAAACTGTATGACCCTGAATCTTAATTGTTTACGGTGTGCCATGAAAATAGGATCATTAAAAATATTTGTTTGAAAAAGAGTTTTACATGTTATACACATTTATCCACAAGTAATTTTTATGTTGATTTTGAGTGTTTTGAATTATAACATTGTAGACAAATTGCCTGGTCAAGTGGTCCAAAGAAAGAACAACTTTAACAGCATTGTCAGTGATGAGGAACCCATTTACGACCAGGTGGCATCAGATGAAGATTATAGTAGTATTGATAATCTCAGCATTAAGAGTGCCGGTATGAAGGACAGTTCTCTCGCCCAGCCCCCAGCTGTAAGTATCTCCTCTGACACAGGCAACCAATCACCATTGAAGCAATCACATTACATTTTAATTTATCCTGATTACCAGAAGTGGATGCCTATTTCTATATATAAACTTTGATCCTTAAAATATTGCCTTCAATATATGTATTTATCAAGAGGAAGTCTAAGAAATTATGCTATGGTAAATACATTAGGCTTCACTGATTGCAGCTTTAACTATGCTCATGAATGACATTATCAATAAGATATTGTACAAAAATATGTTTCTGCACCATGTTGAATTCTCATCTTTAAATAATTGTTTATGTTACATTTAATTCAGTGTTACTTTCACAGTTAATGTGGCAAATAGAGAAAAATGAGACCACTGCACATTCCATTACAAATTTCTGTTCATTAAAGTGCAAAAGACATTAAACATTTGAAAACAAAGATTATGAAACAGGGGGAATGCAATAGTGAAGTTATTTCAGTAAGATTATTTCATAAGCTAGGCTTGTAAATATTTTAGATCTTGATCTTTGCTGCAGAAAATTTAGTCACATTCTCTTCAATCTCTTGATAATTAAAATGCATCATACACAGATGAAATCTTGAATATCACATAAAATAATCAAATTTAAGTTTGAATAACATTTCAGTCAATGCAATATTTATTCTGATACTAAGTATTTAGGCTCTGATTCAGTTTAGTAACTGTAAAGGCAGACAACAGAAATGACACTGGATTCTGAATTTGTTTTAGAGCCCGGATAATGATTCTGATACATTGTTAAAATCAAGTGTTCAGGAGGTGAGACATAGTGTCTTAATTTTACTCACACATTGTCCAGCTAAATTTAATTGTAGACACTCTCCACAGAAAGATGTAGATGAGATGTTAACATAGATTGATAACTGGCTAACAGTAGCAAGACACAGTTTTAGTATATTGTAATGTAGATGTAACTGTGCTTCAGAATAACAGTTTTATTGCATTTGTATAGACACTCAACCTTGAATGCTTGCTGTACATGTTGTTAATGTCTTGTATAAAGTTTACTTGTTTGAAATAAGTTTGTTTAAGTAATAATGCCATAAAATTGTGTCATGATGCTTTATTTCATTAGAAAAATACCGGTAATCTTCAAATGTAAGTGGAAGAGACAATGTACAGCAAAAATTTCATTAGAAAATTGTTTTAAATTGAGTGTTATTTAATTTATAAAAGTAAGTTGTAGGTAGAACACAGTATCTATAAATGCATCAGTGCATCACTAAAACATTATTGTTGCTTTTTGACCAATGGATAATCATATAGTCATATTTTTCTCTTATCAATTTTTTTGTACAGAATTTAGCAGTTCATTAATAATTTCATTAAAAAAAATCATGGAATATTTGATTCCATCTTTTAGTAATACAGATCAAATGCAACAGCAAATAATGATAATAAACCTTTAAAGGATCAAATTGCAGAAAATTTTATCCTCAGAAATTACCAGTGAAACAGTTTATTACATAAAGAATCCATATTTGTATTACCATTTCAAAACAACTTTTGTGAAACACAGTGATTAGTTACATTTGCAAGGTTTGTCAAACCAAATTGCACCATTTCAAGAAGCTGAATTAATGACATAAATGTAGATGTGTTTTTATCTTGTATGCAGTAAAACTCGCCTTATAAGGGACTTGGATATGAGGAAATCTTTGTTACAAGGAAGTTATATAACTTTCCAATCCCTCATAAGACTTTCTTTTATTGATCTAAAAAAATTCAGTTAGGAACTAATTATTCATGTCCTTAGGACCTGATAAGCAGGTTATACTTTATTATGAAATTGAGTACATTACTATTCTTCTGTTAACTTTACACTTTGCTAAGTTTATCATACTTCTTTGAGATTTAACTTAGAGTTTCATATTTTACAAAATTTTAATGATGTGTATATTCTTTAGGATAAAACTGCTTTTCCAAATAGTAAATAAGCATACTGCATGTATACATACAGATAAAATACATTTCAATATCAAATTATGAACCAGTCATGTTATTGCAATAATCACTCAGATTCCAAGGAAAAGCACGAGGCGGCTGAATTCTGTGGGCAATCTCAGGTCTGAGGGAGACCTTGTACAGGATAACATCATTACATGTTTTACACCATGTGTGAGTTTATATCCAAACTTGACCTTTCACCTTAGACTTATGCTTGATTAAGTTCTGTCTCATGACTATATTTCATTTTCTATTAAAATCATCTCATAAAGGCCTAGGAATCAAACATTTCGATATGAACTTCAGTATGCCTTTAACCAGGTTTGAAGTCAATCTTTATATATACATTCTGATTGTGTTCTGAAACCCAGATTCCAAGCAAAAACCTTAGAATCAGGTCAGTTGGACAGTTGAGGTCATATGGTGACCTAATAAGGTCACAGAGAAGGGTTAGTCTGGCCCCACATGTGAGTTAACCGTAATACTGTATTCAGTACTTAGCCATGCCTGAGGTTTATTTATACATGTTCACATATTAACAAACATTCTACAGTACTCTTAAACAATCTGTCTTTCCATATTTCAAGTCAACTCTTGTAGGATAAGATTTATTTGGTATACTGAATTATATGTATAATTTTCATGGTATTACTTCTGCCTACCAGTATTTTTGTTCTTATTTAACTCATTGATTCTAAATTTAGATTTAAAATAAAATTCATTTGAAGGTGTTTATTTCTCTAGAACTACGATATAATGAATATGGATGTATATATAAATTGTATTTCATGGTTTACTTTTTAATATACATGTATGTTAATATATATATATTATATGATACACTGTTTTCCATGAAAATTAGGATTTTCTCACCTTCTGATGTTTAGCATGTCTATTGTATTAATTTAATACTTATGATTACAATAATTTACTTAGATATAGTTCAGTGACTTAAACAAAGTAATTGTTCTAATATACTATATATAAATTTATATTAACCATAATTGTAGTACATGTAATTTAAAAAATTGTCACTAAACATCTTTGAAACAATTTAAGAACCAAAAGAATTTTTCACAGTAATAAATTTATGCAGTTCTTAAAGATTCTTTCTTGAATACATTAGAAATAATGCACTTTTAAGTTTTTCACATGTTTCCTGGCATTCTATAAATTAATAACCTATTTTGCTAATTACCAGCCCCCTACTGTCCCAGAGGCCATGGTGGAAGGACCCGTCTCCACAGAAGAATTCCTCCAGATGAAGAAAAAAATGTCCACAATGGAGTTTAGAATGCAGCAGATTCTCAAAACCAATCAAGATCTCCAGAAAGAGAGAGATGATCTCACTCAACTGGTAAGGAATTTAGTACAATAATTCCAGAACTAAAGAATGAGAAACAGATCCCGAAATGGGTAAGGAATTTAGTACAATAATTCCAGACCTAAAGAATGAGAAACAAATCCCAAAACGGGTGAGGAATTTAGTACAATAATTCCAGAACTAAAGAATGAGAAACAAATCCCAAAACGGGTAAGGAATTTAGGACAATCATTCCAGAACTAAAGAATGAGAAACAGATCCCAAAACGGGTAAGGAATTTAGTACAATAATCCCAGAACTAAAGAATGAGAAACAAATCCCAAAACGGGTAAGGAATTTAGGACAATCATTCCAGAACTAAAGAATGAGAAACAAATCCCAAAACGGGTAAGGAATTTAGGACAATCATTCCAGAACTAAAGAATGAGAAACAGATCCCAAAACGGGTAAGGAATTTAGTACAATAATCCCAGAACTAAAGAATGAGAAACAAATCCCAAAACGGGTAAGGAATTTAGGACAATCATTCCAGAACTAAAGAATGAGAAATAAATCCCAAAACGGGTAAGGAATTTAGTACAATCATTCCAGAACTAAAGAATGAGAAACAGGTCCCAAAATGGGTAAGGAATTTAGTACAATAATCCCAGAACTAAAGAATGAGAAACAAATCCCAAAATGGGTAAGGAATTTAGTACAATAATTCCAGGAGTAAAGAATGAGAAATAAATCCCAAAACGGGTAAGGATTTAGAACAATAATTCCAGAACTAAAGAATGAGAAACAAATCCCAAAACGGGTAAGGAATTTAGGACAATCATTCTAGAACTAAAGAATGAGAAACAGGTCCCAAAATGGGTAAGGAATTTAGGACAATCATTCCAGAACTAAAGAATGAGAAACAGATCCCAAAACAGGTATGGAATTTTATACAATAAATCAACAAAAAGTCAGTTGTAAGAGATTCTGTACAATATATCAGGAATTACACAGCAGAATGAACTCATGCAAATTTTAAGGAATTGTTTACTGTATTGTGTAAATCAGGAAAGATGGAAAGAGATAAAAATGGGAGGAAGTGTTGAAAATTTTCAGTGCACGGTAAAAATCAGGACTACCTTTTGAATAAGCAACAGGAATATATTTACCAGCAAGATAATTGGAGGAAAAGAAAAAATTGATAGCACTCAAAAGTTGAATTAATAAATGAAACAAACTTTAGACATTCATTTTACAGATGATTTTTTAATTGAATTAAAATAGGTACAGACACTTACGAAAGAGATATCTATCCTGAGAAATCAAGCCCAGCACCAGGCGAGTCCGCCGGCCACCTTACCTAATGGTTACAGCCAAGATCGGGGGGAGGAAGGAGCAAGGACGAGTATTCCGAGAGCAGGAACACGTCCACAGTCAATGTTTGAGCCCCGGGAAAGGGAGCAGCGATTATCTAATAAAGTACACAACTAAATATTGCAAAAATCATGTGTATAGAAAACAAAAGTGCATGTTTTTGTATGAGTCTCCATTACAAGTACTCTATGTTGGATTATGAATGAAGTATTCTGTGTTATAATTTAGGAAACCGTGAATATATTTTGTCTTCTTTTAGACTCCATCCAAAGAATTATTGCCCACAGCCTATTCTGTATCCAATATCCACAAACCAGATGAAACTGATGTAAGTTGAAATTAGTTGAAATAAATTTTGAAATTTGGGGGGAGGCTTTTAATTTACCTTTGCTGTACAAAAAATCAATTTTAAAGGCATTACTTATATTTTGTATGATTTTCAGTCTAACCGTGTGCAATCATTACTGATATTTTGTATGATTTTCAGTCTAACCGTGTTCAATCATTACTGATATTTTTTATGATTTTCAGTCTAACCGTGTGCAATCATCACTGATATTTTGTATGATTTTCAGTCTAACCGTGTGCAATCTTCGAGTTCTGGGTCTGGAGCGGACGAGATACAGATGGCTTATCCCCCAGATCTCTCCCACTATGATTGTCCCAGCTCACTGCCAGTAAGCATGGATGAGGATCTCCCATCTCAAGAGGAAGTCATGAGAAAAACTGAAAAAATCACCAAAAATATTCAAGAACTTTACAAATCTGGCCAGGATGGCAAACATGATAGGTAAGAATTAGACCCTTGTTTGTATACTATGTGCTGTCAAATATCCAGATGAAATTCTATTAAAGCATGACTGTAGATATTTCATTAAACTATATTTTATTTAGCATAACCAACATACCAATTGCATATAGGTACCGGGGTATTTTCATTATACTAGATTTTTTTTGTGATAATGTTACATTGCCATATGCTTACTGTATTTACAATTCTTAAAAAAAAAATTCTTAAATGTTTGTGTGTGAGTGTATTCCCAGGAAAATATGACCAATATCATTTATATTTATTTATAGCTTTGGGCAATGTGCTGACAAAATCTATGAGGCAGTGAAAGAAATGGCAGCATTGTTTCCAAAGGTAAAGAAATTGTACTTTTGATCATTTTCTGTATGGTGTGTAGTTCAATTTTCAAATTCTCTTTTATAGAGGTGTGTATTTGACATGAATGAGTACACACCAAAAAACAAAACAAACAAACAAACAAAAGGCATAAAAAGAGATAGATGAAGATTTATTTGGAACATGAAAGTGTTGGTCACTGTAAAATTTTCTTTAAAATATTTTGAATACCATGTACAAGAAATATATATTTAAATGTATATGATCCGCTATTACAGTATTATAGTACATTGAAAAATCATTACACATTCATAATATACAACATTGTGTCTGTATCAAAGCATTACAGAGTATTTTAAATACGGTACTGACATCACTTTATCTTTACAGAACCCAAGAATCAGCACAGTTCGACATGCGCTTCATTTACTGACATCGAGTGCTGCTCGCCTACAAGAAGAATGTCAGGACGGAATCATGGGTGACCTTGAGCCCGATCTCGATCTTCCATTTAAAACTCAGCAAGTGATGCAGTGTGCTTTTGACATTGCGAGAGCTGCTAAAGAACTTGTTACCCTGTTTCAGTGACGATTTCAAATGACTTCTTCATTTACAGATCTGATGAGTATATGTTGTACAAGGAACACTTTCAGGGGCTCCAGAGAGGGAGTCTTAGATAAAAATTGGTGCCAAATATTACGCTATGTTTAGAATGTTGATTCAAGGTGTTTGAATTACCCCTTTATATCAGTCGTTTCATTTGAAATCATGGCATTTCTCTGTTCAGTTGTTTTACTGGATAAAATTGTTTTTAAATGTAAGATAGGTATCATTCTGCTTCTGTGATTGTGAAATAAACATCTATTAAAAGAAATGTAAAACTATTAAAATGGAAGTAGCTGTAGTAAAATTTACTCTGCCAGTCTCCAGAAATCAAAATGCAATTGCTTATTTATGACATTGACTTTTTAGTTAAGCTAGTGGTTTTGACATCTATTTGTTTTTTACATTATTTTGGGTATTACCATTGGCATTTAGTAGTTGCATGTCTTCATCGCATGTCTTTATCATTGCTTTAAGTTGAGATTTCAGAGTGGAACAGTTTTTAAGGTTGGAAATGTCTGTCTGGTTCAAATGTCTAAAATACAGAAGTATTTTCATTTGTATATGTATTTTTTATTTTTGGTCAAAAAGCAGTGAAAATGCATATTTTATTTCTTTATTTTGGCTCTTTGATTACTTATAATAAGAAACTGTCTTCAGCAGAACTCTCTTTTGGTACAATTTTAAGGGGACTGGTAAAGTAAAATTATTTCAGCTGTTTATTCTGAGGAAATGGGAAACGGATAAATACTGTATGATGCAATATGAAAAAAAAGTTTTGCAATAAGTGTTTACATGTGCCTTGTTTTGTTTCTGCCAAATATTTAATTTAAGGAAAATAAAGAAAAAAACATGATCAGTATTATTAACATTGGCTCATTGTCATCAGTCTCTGCCTGTTACAGAATAAGAATATTAGTTTGCTAGTTGTTGGCATTATATTTTTAAAAAAAAACACCTGTTTACATCATAGCAACTATGGAAATTTAAGTTCTTATCTGTCTCTTCCCATGCTTACAAGTCTATACTGCAAACTTGGTCTTTCCGTGATCAGTAAAACGAAGTTTTTTAAACCTCAGTGAATGTGATTGGTCATAATTACTTCTATATATATAGAATTGTACATGTAATTAGGTTCAAGGGGAAAAGATACAGTTAATTTTCATGTGTAAATTATTCAGCATTAAAATACAATGTAAATGTAATATCTAGACTTAAGCAAAATTACTGCATGATATTAAAATATTGGAGTTGAAAATATATACTGTGATATATCTAGTGTAGAATATCTATGGGAACATGTCATTATTATTTTTTTAATTTGTTGAGCTGATTGTACAGTAAAGCTAAAAATGATGAACAATTTATAAAGAGACTAAAACTACCATAAAGGTCATTCATCAAGATGATAGGAATTTGAATAGTGAAAGTGAAAGTCATTTTGAATTATAAGTTCATTTAAACCAGTTGGAATTAGAAAAAGAAAACTGAAATTCATTTTAACTCATGTACTGTAGTTCATTTAATAAGCTTGAACTACCACGTATGTTGTGTATGTAACTATTTGTAATAATTATGTGTGCGTACACTTTGCAATTTTTTTAACCTGTGTAATGGAGCTCATCATGTATGAAGCTCAGAATTGAATCTAGTCATATTGGTTCATTTTCATAATCAGTCTATATTTATTAAGTCACAAGTGTCTGGAGAACAGAGTGTATTGAGGAAGAACATATCACAAGCCTGCATTATGTTTCTTAATTAATGCTGTCATTACCAGAATTGTCTGTAATAAAGTTTACAGTGATGGTTGACAAAATCATCGGGCCAAATTCTTTTGTTAGACATAACTTTCTCTAATCGCCATGTCTTCTTTTTTTAAAATACAGGTTGGACAGAGGTTTATTAATCAGTAGAACAAGGGTTTTTGGTTTATTTTCTTGTGGTTTATATTTTTTACTGTGAATTTGAAGCTTTATAAATTAAGTTCTCATAAATTGAACCTGTTTTTACAGTTTTTCAAAGTCTATTATGCACATAATCATTTTGTTTATGAAGGACTTTGTAGGATTTTTAAACAATTTGTAATCATGTACTTGAAATAATTGAAAAAAATAATTTGTTGTTGATTTCAACAAAGAACTTGTATAAGCTAGAAAAATTTAGACAGCATTTACTTTAACCATCATATTGATGTTTTTGTATGTGTACAATCAGATGTGTTTGTAAGAAAATAAAAAAATGGATTTGAATAATACTCAAGGAGATTTTCTAGTGTCCCATTTTATGTAGTGTATTAGAATAGGTTATGTAAATTTGTAGCATAATATGAGGACTGTCCATACAACAATAATTGTAGCTTTCATGGTTCATTTCTTCATTATGTTGTAATGCATGTCGTCATGAAATGTAGACATATTCTATTTTGTATTATTGATAGTAATTATCAATAAACATGGATATCAATAAAGAAAATTAAACCTGATTCAGAATTTCCTCAGTTTTATGTTAGATTTTGTTAGATTTTAGATTTTTTTTTTAGATTTTAGTAAGAACTTCCTCTGTACATTGCTGTCCTTCATTCATTCTGGACAGAACAGCATACAGGACAATTTTATTGTCGAACTCGAAGCTGGAACATCTTGATGCAAACCCAGTCTTAGTGTGCTTAATTTTATTGACATTGTCTGTCATTGCTTATGTGTGTATGCAGAGATTTCTTTTCAAAACCATAAAAGTTAATTATTTAAACGAAGCAAGAACTGGATGACATAATCCGGAGCAAATAAGTGCTGTTTCTTGTTTAATTATATACCCAACCGTGTTATCGCCCAATTTTACTTTCACGTGACTGTCTGATCCGACTTTCTGGATTAGCACACTGTGGTTCACCAACCTCTAAAAGTGATGACTATTTAGTATACATGACGTTTTTCTTAACGTATTAAAATTTCCATGGAAATATATTTTGTAGATAAACATTGTATGATTGATCCCAATTTTTTTTAAAATTATACTTAGCTAATAATAGAGGGGTAAATGACAAATTTATCATTATAACAATAACATGATCCAAAGAGCCGTATCACGTCTCGTCATAAGTTTCTGTTGACTTTCAGAATAGTAGACTTACACTCTCGTTTAATTAACTGTGTCTAAATGTTATCTCATCATCATGAAATGGTGCTCTATTACCTCAGTAGTATAACTACATAGTGCACAGAGTGCTATTGGTAAGGGACAAGGTCTGAGTAGCTTTCCATTTTTTAAAAAGGAACTGACCCCCCCCTCCCCCCCCCCCGTGCTCTAATGTTGTCTTATGTAATACTACTCTAGTTTTTTTTTGCAAGTAATTGTACTCTAGTGTTGTTATGTAATAATACGCTTGTGTTATCTCATATAATATTAATATTGTAATGTCTCAAGAAATAGCACTCTGGTGTTGTCTTGTGTAATTGAACTCTGGTGTTGTCTTGGATAATAATAATCTATTGCTCTAATAATACTCTAGTGTTGTCTTGTGTTACAGAACATAAGTGTGGTCTCGTATAATTGAACCCTATTGTCGTCTCATGTAGAGTACTTTATAGTGTTTTGTCATGTAGTATTACATTTTATATTATACGAAATAGTAATCTAGTGCCGTTTCATGTAAAAGTACTTTAGTGGTATCTTATGTAATTGTTGTGCTCTTGTTTTCTCTCGTGTTACCGTTATAATTTTTTTATAGTACATTCTACTGTTGTCTTGTGTAATTGTGCTCTAGTGTTGTCTCATGTAATAATATTTCAATGTTGTCTTACGTAATTGTCTCTAGTAGTACTCTAGTGTTGTCTAATGTAATTAAGCTCTAGTGTTGTCGCATGTAAAAATAGTGTATCTTCATATGTAATTGTGCTCTAATGTTGTTTCACGTGATAATACTCTACTGTTGTCTCACGTAACAGTACTCTAGGGTTGTCTCACGTAGTAATACTCAGGTGCGGGTCCAGGAATTGAAGTTAGAGGGCACAAAAAGTAGGCATGTGGTCTGGGGGGGGGGGGGGCTTTGAGGTCCCCAGTGTTATATCATTATATGAGCCCGGGGTGGGGAAAGGGGTTGGGGCGAAGCCTCTGAAAGCTTCTGGATTCTAGAGATTTTGTAGGGTAAAAATGAGGTCTACCGAGTAGACAATTTTTACATTTTCTCGACGAAACTGATTTACGCTAACTTTGACAATTTTAAGGGGGGGGGGGGCTCGCTGGGTGTGCCCCCTCCACCTGTTGTTCTTGTAATTGTGATCTATTGCTTTCTCTCTCTCTCTCCCCTCCCCCCTCCCCACCGTTGTTTCTTGTAATTGCGATCTATTGCTTTTTCATGTTATTGTGTTATAGTATTGTCTCATGTAGTAATGTGTTATAGTTTTGTCTCATGTAGTTGTGCTTTAGTGTTGTCTCTTGAATAGTATTCTTGTGTTGTCACATGTAATTGTGCTGTATTGTTGTTTAACGTAATAGTTCGCTAGTGTTGCCTCATGTAATTATACTCTGACCTGCCTTGTAATAGTAAGCAGTGTTGTTTCATGCAGTAGTACTCTAGATTTGACCTTACATTCCTATGTTATTGTACTCGAGTATTATATCGTGAAGTTGTCTAGTATGATAATTCTACACTCTACAGTGTTGTCTCTTGTAGAGTGCTTCGGTGTTGTTTCTTGTAATATTCTCAAATTTGTCCTGACTGTGTAATTTTGACTTATAATGTTGTCTCATTTATTAATTGCCCAAGTGATAGATTTTATGACATTGCAGTAATAGTTCCTCAAGTTGTGTAATAGTTCCTCGGTTTTGTTCCAAGTGCGTCCTTGTGCTTCAATGAAGTCTCATAATATTGTTCCATAATTTCCGAGGTACTGGGGTATACTTTAGCAAAAATTCAGAACTTCTCTCAAAACATCTGCAGATTTATGGTATATATTGTACATACTGGAAAACTGTCAAGTGAAGGGATTTGTGTCCATTGTATCAAACACACAGGAACACCTATACTAATTAAATTGCCATGTTTATATAAAATATTATCAAGTAGAATGATAGCCGGATCACCCGTCAATGATACAGATTATAACCGGCAGAGTTTTTGTGAATACTAGAGGAGCTAGAATATTTTGTTTTAATAATATATTAAAATCTTTATTTCAAAGAAAAACATCATTTTTCTCAATCATAAGTAGTGTTAATATTTTTCTCTTTTAGGACTTTAATTTCAAAACTCTTACGACTGTAAACAAAACAAAAATAAAGACACGCTCCATTTGTATCTGATTATTACTTGGCGAAAATTCAATTCTTTTAGTTTAGAGCTTTAATGTTTCTTACTATAAAAAATCTTTAATTCACCATTGAAAGGTTCGCTGTATAAGGGATTTACATATTTAAATAGTGCAAAATACCGAGGAGGACCAAACTTAATGTAAAAAAAAAATCCAAACTCGAACATAATGGCCTCTCCGAGGATGCCGAGTGAATTATGGATAGGGTCTTTTCTTACAGAATTTGGTTGCAGATCACCTCTTGATGAGGCCGTTTGTCAGTTGGGAGCAGTGGATCATCTAGCTGATGGACGAATCGTAGTTTTGGATCGTGCCAATTGGTCCATCAAAATTTTTGACTTGAACTACTCTTTGGTAGGATGTCAGAGAGTCGTCAACAATTACGAACCTAGAGATATGTGTATTCTAAATAACAACGTGCTTATCATTTGTGCCGACACGCTTATAATTTATGAAGTTATTGACGATGAACAGACGACATTCGTAGTTGAGTGGACCCGGGTTAGCCTCAATATCAATGGTATCAGCATATCTACAAATGATAATGAGATTTGCGTTACTGGATACGTATATCCATCGCAGAAAAAGATTCTGATTCTTAATGTAGAGTTTGAAGAAGTTGCGTCTTTCGACGTGTCAACACTGTTTCCTGACTCAAAATGCCCAATTTGGGCACTGCCAAGAACCAACAAAGACGAACTGTGGATATCGGACCAGTTTGAGTGTTGCGTGCATTGCTTTCCTAAATATGGACAAAATCCTATCTGGTGCTGGCGAATAGAATCCCAACCTCGTAGTTTGGTTGAAGTTTTCAATTCTGCTCTTGTGGCTTATGATTCAGGAAAGATCATGCAGCTAGCGGACGGAGTCCTTGCACATGTTGTGGTTAACACGGGTTGTCTTCTAATCCAGGGGATGTCGTTCAATAGCGATAATTACACTCTAGCGGTGTCCGACTCCACAGGACACGTTCGAATCTTTGCTCTCCACAATCAAGAGGATGGGAAGAACGAGGATAGCTAGTGACACTGTATACTTTATATTATTTGTAAACAGGCACGTAGTATTAGTGGGCGAGGGGGGGGGGGAGGGTCCCCTCTTCACTTAATTCAAAACTTATTTGTTACTTTAGTAAAAAAAATTACTGGTTGCCCCCACCTCCACTTCCCCTTCCCCCAGGCCACTTTTTGAAGCAGTTCAGTCCAATTCTCCCCTGATTATGTACTTTAAATATATTTTTCTGATGAAAAAAAGTTGGAACCTAACACCACAAACACCACCAACACCACCCTACCCATTCACCCATCCACATCAGAAATACGATTTCGTTTTCGGAAAAGTTTCCCTTTTCAATATATGCTTGTCAAATATTTTTCAGGTAAGTTTTTAATAATTTTCTGGCTTCTCCCCTTTCAAAAACGATGCTACATGCCTGATAAAAAGATGATTTAAGAAAACTATATATATTGAAACCGTTAATTCTGTTAGTGTTCTTTATAGGCTTATCAGCCATTATATGCTTGTTTAGATCAAGCTAAGCAATATTTCAATTTAATCAGATTATCTGACTTGTTTGAAAATAAAATATCCTTTGAATCTGTGTAAAAATATATATATTCGCATATATTTTGATATTGAACGAGTATTTCATTTTTTGTTGATAAAATATTCGTGGATATAGATCTATACCATCCCATTCAAAGATTGCATGTGGAAGGATTAGGACAACCATGCATTGGATAAGGAGCAAAACAAGCAAATTCAAAGAATTCTGGTCTCCCGCTTCCGGTGTCTTAGTGGATGGAATGCAGTTATTTGTGGCATATAAATGTACCTGTCTTGTTTGTGTGTCCTGTCCTGTCTGTGCGTCATACAAAAAAGACATAAATTATTGAATTATTAACAGTTATGTCAAAGATTATAGCTTTCCAAAAGTACATCAAACTTCAAGATCAAGGCCATGAGCTCAATATAACAAGTAATGCACATGTGAAAAAAATGAAAACCCCGTCTCTTATGGAGCATAAAAAGTTATGGTCAAGATTAAAATTTTTGATGAGGACAAGGTCATGAGGTCAAAAATGATATTCTTGTCTGAAAGGTGTCGTCATAGGTAATGTACATGTAGAAATATGAAAGCCCTAATTATATCCTCTCTCATTCAAAAGTTTGGAAATGCTTGTCACAGGAATGCACGTGTCAGATATGAATGCCCTATCTTCTCTCCTTCAAAAGATTTCAACACTGATAAAATAATTGAAAATTAGGTCAAATTTGAAGGTAAAGATCAACATGGTGTCCGAATAGGGCCATTTGCAAAAGCTCAACAGCGCGTTCAGAAAAACACGCCGTCGCGCTAACACACAACACGCCGTCACGCTAACACACAACACACCATCGCGCTAACACATCATTGAACAACACGCCGTCACGCTAACACACGTTCGCACAACACGCCGTCGCGCTAACACACAACACGCCGTCGCGCAACACACAACTCGCCGTCGCGCTATCACAAAGTTGTGTTAGCGAGTTGTGTGACAGCGCGACAGCGTGTTGTGTAAAGTTGCGTTAGCGCGACGGCGTGTTGTGTAAAGTTGTGTTAGCGCGACGGCGTGTTGTGTGTTAGCGCGATGACGTGTTTTGTATAATTGTGTTAGCGTGATGGTGTGTTGTGTGTTAGCGCGACGGCGTGCTTCTCTGAACGCGCTGTTGAGCTTTTGCAAATGGCCCTATCCGGACACCATAGGTCAAACATCATAGCATGCTCGGAAATGCCTTGTTACAGGTAATGCAAATGTCTTATATGAAAGCCCTATCTTTCCTCAATCAAAAATAAAAAAGAAGATAAAATTTTTGAAAAGAAGGTCAAACTTCAAGGCCGAGGTCACGGAGTAAAAAATCATAGTATATTTGGAAAGGTCTTATCACAGTTTATGTACCTGTGTAATATGAAATCCCTATGTTTTCTCATTCAAAAGTAATGGCCAATTTAAAGTAATGTTAATTTTTTTGAAAAGTAGGTCAAACTTCAAGGTCAAGGTCATGGGGTCAAAAATCATAGCATTTTTTGGAAATGTCTTGTCACAGGTAATGTACATGTGAAATATGAAAAATTCAAAAGTTATGATCAAGATTAAAGTTTTTGTGACAGACGGACAGCTAAACAGACGGACAAACTTACAGACGGAGAGAATGACAGACGAATGAGATTTAATATCCCTTTGCTTTCGCAAAAGCGGGGGTCAGTTAATACCAGTGTCACAGAGAGGGTACTGCAGACCAAGTTCCCTTGGCAAGGTTTGCGAGGACGGGTAAGTTGCGCGAACGATTATTGTTATAAAGCTAAGGAAAGTTAGGAGGCAGTAGATCATTCATTGGGTGTACAAGGCCGGTATATAAAATGAAGCTAGGCTCAAAGAAGAATTGGTTTACAGTACTTATAAGGGGGGCGGCCATTTGACTCTGAAGGGGGGAGACTGGAATTTTTTCCGAGTCAGATTATTTATTTTCATGTTGGTGAAGGACAAGATGAAAAAAAAAAAAAAAAAAAAAAAAAAAAAAAAAAAAAAACCACGCACACACACGGCCGTAACTAGGCTTAAGTTTTTAGTGAGGCAAGGTATCTGCGTCCATCCTAGTCCCAAGTGGGACCAGGGTAGGTCCTGATGGTGGTTCCCAGTATTATGCTTAGGGGGAGGGGGAGTTCCCGAAACCTGGGTATTTGCAAATTAAAGACTTTTAAATCTTTAAAAGCTTTAACGTTTTGACTTGTCGCCCGCGTGGCGCAGTGGTAAGAGCATTTGATCTAGAGTCTCGGAGTAAGGAGTTCAAATTCCCGCTGCAGGATGTAGAGACCGGTTCTTCGAAAGAGACGGTAGAACCGGTCCGGCTGTGTCGCAGTAGGCGAGACGGTAGAACCGGTCCTGTGTCGCAGTAGGTGAGGGCACGAAAAAGATCCCTCACAGTTCAGTGACCCCGAGCTCCGAGTATAGGTCTTAGACTAAACTTTACAGACCTCCACCGGCAAGTAGTGGCGTCTCAACTTGATATGAGTGAAAATTTTTTGGAAGGGACATTAAACAATCAAACAAAACAAACGTTTTGAATTATTTTTTTTAAACATGATCAAGTTAATTCTACGATAATGAGGCACCTTCGATATGATCGATTTACCGATATTGAAAAAAAGTTAAAAGTATTAATTTAGTACTAAGACACACATAATTAATTAAAGTTCAAAGTAAAACATTTTTTACTTTTCAGAATTTTAGTGAGGCATTTGCCTCACTTGCCTCAATGGTAGTTACGGCCTTGAAGATTTTTTAATGATTGAGACCAAAAGCGGTTGGTAAACCTCTCAGTAATTGGACATTTCTATAAGATGTATCCATAATGAATATCAATACTATTCTATATAGATAAGATAATATATATATATCGTATTATATTGTTTATATTCATGGTTTCCATAATCTATAATTATAATCATGATTGTGATGTTTTGTATTTTAAATCATTTATCTCTTCACGCCTCCGTCAGCACATGGTCAGCCACTGTCTTCACGAGTACTTTTCAAATTCTTTTAATTTGATGTTCATCATGTTCATGGAATTTGCTATGAAAATAAACTTCACAGTAAGAAACCTAAATAGATCTAGATCTCTAAATATCAATGAACTGGGTTATCTTATCTGTATCAGTTACAATGCGTGTTATCATCAACCTTTTACAAGGTAAATATTAAAATAAATAATCTGGGAAGACAGCTGCTTATAACCGACAACTGAAAACCTAATTTTACATAATCGGTGATTCAATGTCAAGTCGAATTCTTCGAGACGCGACTTGTTCAACTTAAAGTCGTCATGTGACAATCCGATGATGTAAACAAAAGAGATGCATATTAAATATCATGATGTTTGCAGAGACTTTTGGGTGACATTACAGCCAGAAATATGTGATAAATATAGAATCAAATAGAGGAGCAATGGACGAGAGGAGAAGCTTGCTGAGCAGCAGAAGAGGCGAGAACGAACCACGACCAGGAAACGCCTTCAAAGTGAAAGTAGCTCAGGGATCTATACTTCTAACAGTGGCATTGGAAAGACTTGCATTTTACAGTCTAACAGGGAATCTCGTATTGTTTCTAAACAGTCTTCCATTCAGTTGGAAATCTTACAATGCCCTTTATTGTACTTTCGTTTTCCTCGGAATATCATATGTGTTGTCTTTTGTGGGCGGGATAGTTGCGGATACTTGGCTCGGGAAATTCAAAACGCTTCTACTGTCCTTTATAATTTACTTAGTGGGATATATTTTTTTGCCAGTGATAACCTTTGAAAAAGAAACGTCACAAAATACTACATTTTTGCCGGATATTTGTGGAAAAAATGACTTCGATGATGATAAAATGTATGAGATCATTGCCAGTAAAGGCAAGGAAGAAACAGACTTATTCAGCGAAAATTGTGCAGGCCTAATTTTTGGAGTCTTGACAATAATAGCATTTGGTTCAGGAATATTCCGATCTGTTATAGCACCATTTGGTGCTGACCAGGTCAGAAATATAAGTTAATTTCATTTTCCTTTAGATTTGCCCCAAATCACTTGTAAAATATGCTTTACAATTGTATTCATTCTCCATTTTTCCTGGTCTGTGCTGACAAATATTTTCTTTCAGGTGAGAGGAGAGGGTCCACAGACAAGTTTAGCCTTTTTTAACTGGTATTATTGGTCCATCAACCTTGGAACTCTCATTGCTTTATCTGTCATTACCTATGTACAACAGGATTTCAGTTTCTCTTATGGATACCTGTCTGCAAATATTTGTTTGGCTTTGTCTTGTATTGTTTTCATTACAGGTATGTTCAAATTTTACTGTAATTTTTTCATAAGTCTGTGATCATGGTGATCATAATGTTATATGAGGTACATATAGATAACATTTATGAGCTGCTATATTTCATCTCTTTTACTCCAATGTGTTTAGGATGCTGGTCTTATGTTTGTGTGCCAAAAACAGGAAGCATTTTGACCAATATTTTCAAAATTTTATTCGAGTCCTGCCAAAGGCGGAAAATAAATAGACACAGATTAAACAATGTTGAACAAGTCAGGTAAGTTTTGTCAGTTTTGAGGATATTCTATGGTTTCAAAAAAGCTAATGTTTGTTTTTGGAATTTATGGAATAGAAGAAGAGCAGGTGTTTGTATAATGAGAGAATTATATTTCTTAAACAGCGCTGATATATCAGACATTCCTGAGCTTCCTTCTAGTGAGTCTTCCCCCTCTTTCCTAGACCGGGCTAAATATAGATATGGTGGAAGTTTCCATGAGACAGCAGTAGATGATGTAAAACAATTGTTAAAAATTCTCTGTGTATTTCTCACAACACTGCCTTACTGGATGGTTTATTTCCAGGTTTGTAGGAAGTAATTGTTTTAACTTTAAGATAAACATTTCAAATTATAGTCATAATTATGTTCATTTCTTTTATTGATGCTTTTCTCTAGATGCAGACAACATTTGAACTTCAAGGATTGCACATGAAACTGCATTTATCACATGCAGAAACATTCAAAATATGTAACAATAGTTTCCCAAATTACACCCCCAACTCCAATCCAAACAGAAGCACAGTATGTATTCAGATTTTAGTGTAATTAAGCCTATGACAACATTAAACAGAAAATTAATGTAAATGGTCATTACGATCTTAGTTTTGGTATAAAAAATGACAATTAAATATATCTTCATTTAGAAATTTTCTGTTGGTTGGATAACTAGAACTAAATGGGCTTTTTGATATATTACCAGTACACTTCCTTTCAGGTAGTGGCAGCTTGGTTTACTCTATTTGATGTGATATTCCTCATCATTCTCTTGCCACTGTTTGACAGAGTTATCTACCCTTATTGGGCTCGGCGTGGGAAACCTGTTGGCATGGTTTTTAGGATTAGTTTGGGAATGATGTTTGCTACTTGTGCTGTATTAGTAGCAGGGATAGTTGAACTCTTCAGACTTAAAGCTGTTTGGAAATATCCAAATGAAGAATGTTGTAGCTCTACAATCAACCAGACCATTGGTATACAAATTTTCAAGTTTGTCTGCATACATTCTCCTCAAGTAAATTTCAAGGATTTTTTTTAGTAACATTGCTGATGTGTGTAAGAGCAAGGTTTCTGTTGTGAGCAGATTTTCACACAGTTTCTTTCATTCGAATAATCTGTAAAATTTATTATTTAATTGGGTTTTGCACTTTTATAGGTACAGGTATAAACTTATGCATGAATGCATTTCTTTTTTGACATTTATTTATCAACGAATATGTTTCAGGTCATACTGTCTACAGAGCAGCTGACATGAGTGTTTTCTGGCAGATCCCACAATATGCTCTGATTGGGATCAGCGAAGTTTTTGCAAGTGTGGCTGGTAGGTTACTACTTAATTTGGCATAGAACGAAAAGTCCTAACTTAAGTTATAAATGTTGAATTATTTTCAAATGTAGTTTGACCTTCGTATTCTCAAATGTACATGAAGTACACTATCAACCAGTTGGAAATGTTGAGAGTACATCTACAGTTATCTTTCTTTTAGCATTGGAATTTGCCTATCAGATGGCACCTAAGTCAATGAAAGGGATCATCATGGGATTTTTTTATCTTTTCACTGGGATTGGCAGCTTGCTAGGAACGGGCACCATGTTTGCCTTCAAAGGAACCTGGTTCTTTCAGGAAGATTTTGGCAATATTAATTGTCGCATGCCATGTAATTCAGATGGCAAATACACGCGGTCATGTCACCTGGATTACTACTTCTTCTTTTTAGCAGGTCTAGAATTTGTAGGAATGTTTGTTTTTATTGTGGTGGCACGGCTTTTAAAACTTACGCAGCATCTAGTGGCTATAAACAAACCGGCACAGCTGGCTGGGGTGCATGAGAGGTCTTTCAGAGATGAGAGAAGAGATGGGCTAGTGTCAAGTGGGAGTCAGAGAGGGAACAGATGAAAGGACAGCTTAATTAAAGCTGATGCTATTTAAAAGAAAAAAAATCCCACAGTGTTCAGTCAGGATATGTTATTAATCATTTCATACAGTGTAATACCAACGATATGACATGATATTTAGTGGACCTCTACAGATATGCATATTACTTTATTTGTTTTCTTAATTTTCATGTTAATGCATTCCATGTAGTTATCTTGCTTTTCTAACATTGATATAACACTATTGTACAATAAATGTACAACAAAAGTCCAAAAAGTCAAAGGTTAACTACAAAATTTATTGGATGTAATCATATTAATAGCAAAACTAAAAGTTAATTGAGAGATTTTGTTAAGTACAAAGAGAAATCAATGCATATTCACTGATTCTGAGAAAATTAGAATAGTTTAAATAGTTTTTGTATCTTTTAAATTTATAAAAATGTGTTCTTGAACCTTTTTGATACGTGTATCATGCCTGTGTATGTATTGATGTTTGAGGTGGATGAGTGCAATGTTCAAAACAAATGTTTTTTTTCTGTTCTTGTCTTGTACAAAGATGAAATTATTTTAAATTTTATCTTTTTCCTATTTTTTTTTAAATACACAGACATTTATTCAAATATAGTTAGGATTCTGCATAGCCCTAAATTTTACCATTTACATGTATGTACATGTATACGTATACAATTAAAGGTCACAAACATAAAATTTGAAAGTGCACTGAAATTTTTTCCTGAAAAAGAGGGATAATGTTGGATGAAATGAAATGAATTTTTTTTTTCAAATAAACAATTAAAAGGAGAAGAATTTTTATTTCTAGTGTGGGATGTTTTAAGAAAAAAATCATTAAATTAAAACAAAAGGCTTTGGTACTGAAACAATTCAGATGTTATAAATACATGCTATTCATTTAAAAAAAAAACTTTTTTCCAGAATAAATTCCTTGTTTGTGTTAATGATCAGATGACCTACTGGGTATGAGAGATTGAAGCCATTAATGAGTAATGGCTGTATATCTACATTATTGCATCTCCTTATGAAGTGATCTGCAGTTAGTCATAATGATGCTAAGAGCAGTTATAAATGAAATAGGAGTTGTATATGCATTAGTCATCTCAGTATTAAATTTAGTAACCCAAACTTACGAAAATGTGCATTAAGTAAGTCTAAAATATCATTAGGTATTGTATTCATACCTAATGATTTTGGACATAATTATACATGTATATATATAATAGGGATGGCATTTTGTAACCGGTTAACCGATTACTCGGTCGGAACGTTTGTAATTGGTTAGTCGAGAAAAATAAAATATATGTAGATCTGAAGGCAAGTTTTTTTTTTATAAATTCATAAAGAAAAAAAAAGAAACCTCTGCATAAATGTTGATAATTTAGCATTTTGACAAAGATTTGGAGGTAATTACTGAGACCATGGGGGTAATTGCTCTGTTTGTGAAATGTTAATTTGTGTTTGAACACCATATCGCTACCCCAACTGTTCAATTTCAATTCCATTCTTTATTCACTCGGGACCAGATCACTGGTACAAGAGGTACATATATGCAAACAAAAATTACGATCAAGGGTAAAAAAAATAGACAAGTATATAAAGAAAACAGAAAAGAATGAACTAAACATATAATCAGTTATATATATGGAGGATTCAAGGACAGACAGTTTTGAAAATTTTCTTAATAAATTTTGACAATGATTTTTGTATTTCTACATTATTTGTGTTCATTACTTCATTAAATTTGAAAGTGTTAGGATTTTTAGAATATCTTTTTTTTGGAGAAACTTTTTTCTGTCATTCGAAAAGAACTTACAATCCATAACATAATGAAATTCATCACCAATAGTTTTACAATCACAAATGGTACATATTCTTAAATTTCTATCAATATTATTCCATCTACCTGTCCTATAATTCTTTGCTGATATTTATCAAACATTGTAAATTAAATGATACTTCAGACTTCGTTCTGATTACGGTGACAGTGCAGAATGAACTCGTGTGTCATCTGCTCTGGAAATTATCGGTGTCTGAATTCTCAAGCCTTTTTTTTTATGGTTTTCTTAATTTCTTCTTGTCTATTGAGAAATTAAAACACATATACTTGTAAATTTCTGCTCAAGATAAACAGGATGTTTCTAACTTGTATCTCCTTTTTCAGTTTTCTTGCGTATATTAATAGAGCTATGTAAAAATAAATATGTCCAAAATGTGTTTTGAGCCGGTCGGGACGTCTTGTAGTTAACCGATTAGCAATTCTGTATCTGTATTCGATTATATATATATATATATATATATATATATATATATATATATATATATATATATATATATATATATATATTTAAATATATATATATATATATATATATATATATATATATTCTCCTACTTTGTGTACTTGTGTATATACTCATTGATAATATTCAACAATTGACTATGTACTCAGTTTTTCCTTTTAGGAATTAAAACTTCTATAATTTTTAAATGTGTCCTGTTTATTTATACCAATACCATGCTTAAAATGTAATAAAATTTCCATACACTTATGTATAGTATTTTAATCAAACATTCCAAACTCTGTTTACCAAGTGATATTTTGGCAGTAGTTTTCCCATCTACAAATTCACACAATTGAAAACAAAATTCTGTTGAAGTTTCCAATAAATTATTTCATCGTTGTTTCATTGGTATTGAATTGTACATGTAAATCCAATTTACACAAATGCTTAACATTTTTAGTATATATGTAAGTTGAGTCAATACAGGGCTTATGGACCTGCTCCTAAACCTTGAACCTTTTCAGTCATCTGAAAATGACGTCAGATCCAGAATCCGAAACATGTCTGGTAGTGTGCATTTCACAGATGAATTACCTTCGTAAGTTTGGTCACCATGGGGCTTATATTTCTTTGAAAAATGGCGAAAACTCTCATCAGGAAAAAGTAGGTTATGTTCAGCATCCGAAGCAACTCCGGTACTGTGCATCCCTAGATGCAGCATCCATGCACACTACCAAACTTGCTTCAGATTTTCTATCTGATCCCTATTTATTCCGAATGAATGAACAGGTTAAAGTTTTTGCAGCAAGTCCATTCCCACGTAATAGTAAGCCCTACAAGGACCAAACGTGTTTGGGTGATGCTGCAAGGGATGTACATTATCGGACATTCTTTGGATGCTGGATCTGACCTGCTCTTTCTTAATGAATGAACACGTCAAAGCCTCTGGAACGGGTCCATTCCAGAGATAACAGCCTCCCTGGACCAAACTTGCATGGATGATATGCATCTAGAGATGCGCGTAACCGGAACATTCATCAGATGTGAAAATTTGTCTTATCTATATAGATGCTTGCTCTAAGAGACAAAATATTAATTTAAAAAGAAGTTAAGGTTTTTAAGATGTCGCACAAGTTCACGAAGACGCAAAAGCATTAATTGCTTGTTAAATGCATCTTGTTTACAACACTCTTAACACCCCCCCCCCCCCCAATGTTTACAAATTCTTTTAAATCAGCCTGTGTAAGTTTACCCGTTTTCATTCTCCGTATACAATCGTGAATTCTTTTCAATAAATAAAACAAATTTAAATCATTTAAATGACTAGATTCGTAGTCTTTGGAGAGTTTCTTCTGAGTCTGATTTCTACAATGAACACCAGAATCATAGACAGAACGAGCTCTCCGCCGGCGATGTACAGTTTTAGATATTCACAAAGGTGATTGCTGTACAGGTATCCTATTGTAAAACCCAGTGCCTGGAACATACGGAGGTTGGAAAAGGCTGGTTCTTGCTTGTCGGAGAATGCCAAACCAACCAAAGCTACAAACGAAAAATCGACGTTAGATACACTTGGAAATGTATGTTGTTAATATCCATTTGATCACACAAAAATCAGTGATTTACTATATAACGTTAAAGAAATTGAAAATAGAGAATTCAAAACAATTTTAAATACTTGTACAGCTTTCTTATTTAATAAATGAAAATTACCTGCACTCTGTGTTTGCCAGATAGAATCCGCAAGTCCCCATATACCCGGAATAACAAAGAATATAATTAATTGTTTTCTGGCTAAATGCCAAAGTTCCATAGCAATCAGAGCACCAATGTTCAGAGCCATGGCAATGATAAACAGGGTTGGTCTGCCCACATGTTTGCTAAGAAAACCACTGATTGGAGAGCCAATGGTGTTGGTGACCCCAAAGCAGATCATGGTGTATCCTATCCATTCAATGCCTATCTCACACGTCACATAAGCCTAAAAAAGGGGGAATAAAAAGGGAATAAACACCTTTTTGATCATTTCAATAAGGAAACACTAACAAAGAAATGAAATTATTAAATTGTCCTTTAAGGCAGACATTAATTTTCACCACAAATGTTGAGCGCCTAGGTTTTACATAATCTTGTGTACAAAAGTTATTCAATATCTATTGTTCAGATGATATTAACTTTTTACAGTAAAGACATGCACCAAACCTTGAACAAACTACCTGTACGGGAACTTTTCACACCTGAGAAAAACAGGACTACAACATTATTATATTTTTTTCACCAAAGTTTCCTCATCTACCAATAACCACGAAGTAAGCAAGTCAAACACTATACACTTACCATTGTGAATTCAGCATATACTATCGTTTGTTCCAGACCAGTCCACAGATAGAATGGAACCAGCATCGCCATGTTGGAGTTAGTCACCAGAAGACGAACAGTGGAGACAAGTTTTGATCTGAAGGACTCTGTAGGGCCATTGGATTCCTGTTTCATTGGTCTGAGCATGATAACAGTGATAATTAAACCAACTGCAGCAAAACCCATGTACACGCTGAGGAGAATGATTTCTATTTTACTCTCAGGATGCACTCCTGCTTTTGTGGTATTTTTAGTTTCTGGCTTTATTGTTATCGGACAGAAGTTTCTCCCACAATAATCAGGAGTCGTTACATTTAAAGAACTGTTTCCATTGACCAGAACCAAAGAGGATATGAGATTTCCCCAAATTTGTGTACTCTGAAACGCCGCACAGAAGATGCCAAAGAATTTACTTAGGATGTGATCAAAACTTCCCTCTGTAATTCTCGCATATTCCATTGCAATGGATGTCACCAGAGCACCCTGCGCCGTCCACATGAGTCCTGTGGCCAGACCCTCTATCCCCGCTCCTGGGATGAGAACGTAACCAGCGGGATAATAATTTGCACCCACATAGATACACAGAGCAATCCATGAAATAACCAGAGCGCCTTTGCTACCAATATAACTAATAATAACCGGAGCTAAAAGGCACGAGACGAGTCCCCCTCCCGTCAGAGCGGCCAGTGAATACACACCTACACCGGGATTTAGACTTGACTCTAAATTCTGCAGTCCTGAATATGCCGTGAAGGAAAATATCCACATAATACATATTGCAGCAAAGTTAAGTAGTAGTCTCCTCTTAATGGGCCTTGCCTCTCCTTCCTCGTAGGTCAGTAAACCTTCATCTGTTGCTTTTAACATGATGTGTTTTTTCTGCACCTTCTTACAAAGCAACAAAAATGTATGTTATCTGTATAGTCATCCTTTTGTATAGTCCCACTCGTACAACAGCTGACCGCTTTATCAACCTATTGTTATTGTTATCTCAGTTGATTGCAGTGCCCTTTCAATCAGTTTACTTCAACTTGTTGCTTATGAACAAGATGTCGACTAGGTAAAAGTTTAATAATTGTGGGAAGATACTGTTGAGTTCTCTTATCATTATTATATATTTAACGTGTTTAAAAATAAAAGAAAATCGTCAAGTTTCAGTAGTCAACGGTAGGGATTGATAACTTATCTGATTGTCCAGCGCAAGATTTGATGATTGCTTCGTAAGATAAAACTTTATACGCTTAGCTCAGATTACTAAATATTTTCTTCCTATAACAGTGTTATTTAAAGTAAAGAAAAAATTTAATGTTATATTTCTATGACAGTGTTATTGAGTAAAGAAAAACATAATCATCTGTTTCGTTAACAAGTACTAGTGGTTGATCAAGAAGGGTCAAAAGAGAGAGAGAGTGTGTCTTCTGTAAGATATAGTTACTGGCATGTGATAAAAAACCCAAATCATCATGGGGTGTTACTTTTTATCATTTTGACATTATTTTGAAGGAGTCAGACTATATGACTTTCACCTCGCCTATCCTCTATCTTCATGCCCCTATATGACTTTCAGATACAGTGTATTCAAATATTTAATCAAATATGATGACTATGTAGTGTAATGAAATATATGGAGATAACGAACAGTATTCAAGCTCAAAAGTCCATTAAACATTGCAAAACAGGAGCAGAGCAAACACGGGTGGGATCAGGTGTCATGGAGTGAGCATCCCCTGTCGACCGGTCACACCCGCCGTGTACTCCTTGTCATGATCGGGAAATAACGGAAAAATCCGTCGACAATTCAGAGTGTAAATAATGGCCTAACAATTAGTAAGAAAAACGTCAGTCAGCATTTGACTCAATTGTCAATTAACAATTGTTATTTCCATTCTTATGTCGAAACGATATATCCCGGTGAGTTTGAGATGCATGAAAGATACCACAGAGTCTGACACATCTGTTTCATATTTGGATATTTTACTTGAAAAATAGGTTAATGGTAATCTAACAACCAAGCTTTATGATAAACGTGATGACTTTAACTTTTTCAATCGTCAACTTCCCTTACTTATGCAGCAATATACCTTCATCACCTGCATACGGAGTATATATCTCTCAGTTGATTCGATACGCAAGAGCATGCTCTACGTATGTACAATTTCTAACACGAGGTAAATTATTGACAAACAAGTTGATGAAACAAGTATATCAGCTGTCTCGTTTAAAATCATCATTTCGTAAGTTCTATAGCCGATACAATGACCTTGTCAGCAAATACAATTTATCATTGAGTCAGATGCTGACTGACGTTTTTCATACTAATTGTTAGGCCATTATTTACACACTGAATTGTCGACGGATTTTTCCGTTATTTCCCGATCATGACAAGGAGCACATGGCGGGTGTGACCGGTCGGCAGGGGATGCTCACTCCTCCATGGCACCTGATCCCACCTCTGATATTTGGAGGTCCGTGTTTGCTCTGCTCCTATTTTGTATTGTTTAATGGAATTTTGAGCTTGAATACTGTTCGTTATCTCCATATATTTCATCCAAGTTCCTCTAAAATACATTTAATATAATGAGCTTTACAAACAAAGACGATGTTGTTACCTGCTTTGTCAGCAGGGAC